CTAATTTAACCCCACGTTAAGTATACTCAAACTCTGAATAGAAACCAATAATTAAACTCTACACTAAACATATTTAAACTCTTCATTGAACCTAATTAAATCCTACATTGAACTTAATTAAATCCTACATTGATCCTACTTTAACCCTACTTTGTATCTAAATTAACCCCACGTTAAACGTACTTCAATTCTGTATTAAAACAATTTAAACCCTACATTAAATATATTTAAACTCTGCATTAAACCTAATTATATCCTAAATTGAACCTTGCCTTGCGCCTTCATTGACTCTACATTAATCCTACTTAAACCTTGCATTGATCTTGCATTAAAAAAATTTTGAGACTATCTTGAACCTAATTTGAAACAGCAATGAATCCACTTTAACCCTACATTGAACCCTAATCCTAATTTACATATACCTTAACCCTATATTAACTCTTTATTGAACCTAATCTAATCCTATATTGCACCTAATTTAACCCCACGTTAAGTATACTCAAACTCTGAATTGAAACCAATAATTAAACTCTGTACACTAAACATATTTAAACTCTTCATTGAACCTAATTAAATTCCTACATTGAACTTAATTAAATCCTACATTGATCCTACTTTAACCCTACATTGAGTTCTACATCAGAAAACTGATACTCTTTTCTAAAAACCTTTCCCCTGAAATTGGCGAAAAATTATATAATAATTACACATTTATAATCAAAATCATAAAAAAAAATTTGTTGAACCCAAATCGCTGTTTCTTGCGAGTAAAAGAAAATAATTGCTGATTTATGTTACGGATTTGTTTCTTATAATAAGAACTCCGAGAATATTTTGTAATGACAATCAGTCTATATACTCCTCTCAAGTATATATTCAGAATAAAAGTATTTTTATCAGAATACAAAGAGTACTTAGCATATCGGGAATGAATTGACAAAAATCTATATACACACAGAAAAATATATTTCTTTGTCTGCAAACAAGGAAAATGCTTTTGTATAAGAACAAGGCGTTGAATACAAGAGAAGAGGGAATCTTACTTTCGTGACTCTATAATTATAAAGTTTTATAAACTGAAAAAAGAAATACATTTCTCTTTTGAAAATTGCGATGCTAAGCAATTAATTTATATATAATAGAAAGAATTTCGTTTTGGTATATCAAATTAGAAATAATTTTCCTGATGCAAAAAAAAAGTGTGTTTTGCGAAAATATGCTCTGCTTTTTGTTTCTCACTCTCGACTGTAAGGAATTTATCTATAGCCAACTTCTCTTTTGTTTATTATGCATACCCAGATACGTGTTGTAGATTGTTGCACGTGGTAGACTCAGCGCGGTAGTTACACGACACACGTGTGTAACGAGACACCCGATTGGTCCAAGCGAGCGATGAGTCTTACCTCTCTCTCTTTCTTTCTTTATATTATTTTTCTTTTTCAACTGCAGTAACTGCATATGGTTTGCAACTGATCACGCATAGAACCTATCTTTCTGAGGATCAGTATAAAACGCATGCACCACTCGATCTTCGCAACTTCAAGAGTCATTCATCAGGATATTCTCTAAGAAGCAAATCAGAAAAAATAGATACTTATTTTCATTTCAAAAATTTTTTTCCAAATTCTCTTATTTTCGATGGATTTTTGCAATTTCGAACGTAAACAGAAAATCTTTTTTCAGATACTAAAATTAAGTTAGTTTTGTAAATAATAATAATATAATATAATAATTACTATTATTATTATTGAATAACTGTTATTATTATGTTATTATTCTCATTATTATTTATTACTATTAGAGTTAATTTATGAAGTTTCATTCTATTAAATGAACGACAATATTACAATTTCCTAAAAAAATGAACAAGGAAAAAAAATTGTAGACATACATATAAAAGGAAAGTATTCGAAATTTTACGTAATCGTAAAGCCAGTTAGACGAGTGTGGACAAGAACTCACATTTGAGTCGCGTGGATAAAACCAGTGTGGTATACCGTTTTTTATGCCAAGAGTTCGTAATTTGGAACACTCGCTACTGGTATTCACGGTCAATGGTCACTTATATATAAATAAAATTCTACAAACTATTTCTAATAAAATACGACTCAGCGGAAACAATTTAGACATATATTTCAATTTTTTTTTCTTTATATTCAAAAGAAAAACTCATTTTCTACTTTTTTAAAAACCAATTACCCTTGATTTAAAAATATATTCTCATTTAATTTAGTCGCTAAGGAAATAATTAATATCCTCCGCATAATTATTAAAAACGAATATAAGATTAAACCTTGTTTGAATCTACGTTGAACTTGATTTGATTCTACATTGACCCTACATTAACCCTACTTCGATCTTATATTGATCGTACATTAAAACTATTTAGGTCCTAACTCGTACCTACTTTTATTCTGCATTGAACTTCATTTAACACTACGTTGAACCTAATTTAAACCTTCATTGAACCTAATTAAATTCTACGTTAAACCTTCTTTGCCCCTTTATTGATTCTGTGTTAAACCTACTTTAACCTTTCATTAATCCTACATTAACTGCATCGGCCCAACCTTATACCTATTTTAATGCAACTCTAAATGTAATTTAACTCTACATTGGACCTAATTTAATTCTTCATTAACCCTAATCTAATCCTACATTGCGTCTAATTTAACCACAAGTTAAACATACTGAAACTCTGCTTTGCAACTAATTAAACCTTACACTAAACTTACTTCAACTCTGCATTGAACCTAATTAAATTCTACATTGAACCTTCTTTGCCCCTTCATTGACTCTATATTAAACCTACTTTAACCTTTCATTAATTCTACATTAACTGCATCGGCCCAACCTTATACCTATATTTTAATGCAACTCTAAATCTAATTTAACTCTACATTGGACCTAATTTAATTCTTCATTAAGCCTAATCTAATCCTACATTGCGTCTAATTTAACCACAAGTTAAACATACTGAAACTGCTTTACAACTAATTAAATCTTACACTAAACTTACTTCAACTCTGTATTGAACCTAATTAAATACTACATTGAACCTTCTTTGCCCCTTCATTGACTCTGTATTAAACCTACTTTAACCTTTCATTAATTCTACATTAACTGCATCGGCCCAACCTTATACCTATATTTTAATGCAACTCTAAATCTAATTTAACTCTACATTGGACCTAATTTAATTCTTCATTAAACCTAATCTTATCCTACATTGCGTCTAATTTAACCACAAGTTAAACATACTGAAACTCTGCTTTGCAACTAATTAAACCTTACACTAAACATACTTCAACTCTGCATTGAACCTAATTAAATTCTACATTGAACCTTCTATGCCCCTTCATTGACTCTATATTAAACCTACTTTAACCTTACATTAATCCTACATTAATTAACCTTATACCTATTTTAATGCAACTCTAAATCTAATTTAACTCTACATTGGACCTAATTTAATTCTTCATTAAGCCTAATCTAATCCTACATTGCGTCTAATTTAACCACAAGTTAAACATACTGAAACTCTGCTTTGCAACTAATTAAACCTTACACTCAACATACTTCAACTATGCATTGAACCTAATTAAATTCTACATTAAACCTTCTTTGCCCCTTCATTGACTCTGTATTAAACCTCCTTTAACCTTTCATTAATTCTACGCAATAAAACAACTTCGATAATTCACGTAATTAAAAAAAAATCTAATTAATTTTTAATTTTAATTAGCTGTGAGAAATTTGCGTTATTATTCTCTACTAGTTGATAAACTCTACTAACTGATAACTCACTAAATATTTAAAAATTTCGCTAAAACAAAGCAGTTATATTTTCAGAGCAATAAAAAATAAACAAAGATTTTAATTCGAAATGCTTCGTTCAAAATCTCAAAAAAAAAAAAGTCTCAATAGAGTACTTACTATTCCAAGTCAAGACGGAGAAATCGAGTATACATCGGTATAATGACCACTGTTATGAGAGTCTACAAAGTCATTAATAGAAACAAGATCTTATTATTGCTCGCCACAGATGAATCATAAAAATGGAGAAAAAAAAATTTATATTAAAAAAGGACAAATGACAATTGTAATTCAGACTCTTTACTAGAATTATAACTTTTAGCTTTCATTTAGCAAAAGAAACCTAAAACTATATGGTTTTTAATCGGATCTTGAGATCTCACGAAAAAAAAAAATATAAGCGGTAGCAAATAAAGAAAGGAATGGTTTAGAAGAAAAGAGACAGAGAGGACCAAAAGAAGAATAAAACGAGAGAATATAAAGGAAAGGATCACGTACAGCACAGCAGAACAATTCTTCATCACGTGAATTTCATAAAACCTGAATGTGAAACTGGCCCGGGCGGCCCAACGAAATTAAGATAAAATTATGGATAAACGCGAGCATCCTTGTAATAAAAAAAAAAAGAAAAAAAAAAACGAGTGATATAAGAAGAATGATGAGAGGGGGAAAAAAAAGTGGGAGGATTTTGAGCGTGCGGAAAGAGAGAGAGAGAGAGCCTGTTAAGATTGGTGCTTACGCTGGTTTACACGCGCATTGGTAGTAAACTGGGGGAGGCGGCATGGCGGTTCCATTCAAACGTCCTCTGAATTAAAACGCGCGGCTTCTGCGGATTGCGTGTATGTGGTTACATTTTGCCGAGGGTTTTTTTTTGGGGTTTTTTTTTTTTTTTTTTTTTTTTCTTAAAGCATATATAAAAGGCGCGTAAGGGTATCAAGAGGTGCCTGCTGAGACACCGAAAACAATACTAACTGCTCTAACATATATACACTGAGCCGCAAGTGGAGAAGCCCATTAAAATCAACTATATATCGAGAACTCCATTGTCGGAGGTTTTTTTTTTTCTCTCTTCTTTTTTTGCCAATACTTTTCAACTTTTGACGATCGCTTATTTTATATTCATTGCTTTCGTCGCCGATGATATATTGAATAATAATAGGGAATACAATACTCTTTTCACTTACCCTTTTTTTTCCCCCGCGTACGAAAAGTCGCCAACAAAAATATATTCCAGACCATCGTGTTTCGAAAGCTCCAAATTCACTCTGTAAACAAAATTTTTCAATGATTAAAAAAAAAATTACATCCAAAAGAAAAATAATTCGGTTCTTAATTTACATTTTCTTCTTAAAAATGATATTTTTCTTTTTATAAAAGAATTTCTTTATTTCATTCAAATAAACAGTATTATCGAATAAAATAATAATTTTCCAATTTCTGTATTTTTGGCAATATCAATTTTTGAAAAATTAAAAAAAAAAATGGATAAAACTTTTATAAATAAATTTTCTTTACCTTCAATTTTTTTTCAGGAAAACAAAAACTTTGTAAGAAAAAATAATGCAACATTTTTCAATAAAATTATGTCTTTTGTAAAAATATTAAATTAACAAAAAAGTCTAATAATTTTCGATGATATAAAAACTTTGAAACTTTACTATATGGTGAATATATAAGGTATTTATGTTACTGAATAAAAAACACTCCAGATGATTAAATTTTGAAGCAATATTTCAAAATTGCAAATTTTTATATATGAAAATTTAATAAAAATGTAATATAAAATTAATATTTAATACAAAATTAAAAAGTAGTACTAATACAATTTTTTAGGGAAAATTTAATTTTTTTGCAAGGTTTTAAAACTTTCATTTAGAGAAGTAATAGGGGATGAATTTTTTTTTTTTTTTACTACGAGATCTTTATGAGATGACGTTTATGACAGTTATAATAAAATGAATTTTTATTTTCGGAAACAAGAAACGCGAATTAGCACGAATAATAATGGATGTTGAGAAGCTCAATTTCCATGAAGGTCCTCATTTTGATTAACCATCTTGTAACCTTTTTCTTGTCTTTAAAAGATCGCTTTCTTTTTTAAAAACCGAAACTATGCCGCCTTTTTCGCGACGAGAATCTTTTCTTGGAACAACTTCGATAAAAGTGCAGAAACAAGCGTAAACGAGCCTTGTAAAGTTGATGCTTTGCCACATTGTGTCAAATGTATATATACACACAAAGAATTTTATTATAAATACAACAACGAATTTTCACAATTTTTAAATAAAACAGTGATATTTATTTGAAAATTCAAATTGAAAAAAAAAATTTTGTCAATAAGCTAAATTGATTCATTTATTATTTGATGTAAATAAAATATTTTCTTATTATAGAAATCATAACTAATTCTATATTTTAATACCACAAAAGAAAGAAAAAATTAATAATTGAATAAAACATTTATTTTTTTTTCTTTAGTGAAAAATATATATTTTTTCATCACAAGATTAACGATAAGTAAATTAAAGTGAAATATGGTAATAGACAAACAATTGTAATTTATTGTAATATTGATTTCAGAATCCCAAAAAAAAAAAAAATAAATAAATAAATAAACAAATTATCTTTCGAAACTGTCCGAAGATTATTTGCAAGTCTACCGCTACAAATTATAATATTGTCAACGATCGATCGAATGTCAAGGTCTATACTCTATTACCATAGCTATTGAAGTTCTAAGAAAAGTTAAAAAATGAGAAAAGACGGGATTATCGGATCTTGTATAATGAAAGTCAGACGTAGTTTCTGCCTCACTTATGAATAAATTTTAATAAATCTCAAAAAAACTTTTAAAAACGGTGAGTCGAAAATGGTGCAATGATGTATATATATACATATACTATAAAATTGTCATGATAATAATCCCAAAGCTGTTAAAAAAAAAAAAAAAAATTAATTTTTATTCCATTCAAGATATTTGACAAATAAAAATTTTTCATTGCAGGACACACATTTTCCAAAATGACTTTCCCAAGGATTTTTTTTTTCCTAATAATTATACTTGTACCAACAAAAACTTTTCCCAAGTGACATTTCCAAAAATAATAATAATAATAATAATAAGAAATAAAATAAAAATCTTATTCAAATGTTGAATTCATTTTCTTTTTATTTTATCGGGCGCAAAAATTTAATTAGACTGAAATACCAAAGAGATTGTTCTTTAAATTTGCTGAGATTGCCATAAGGTTAACTTCCCTGTCGAATCGCGACATTGTAAAAATCTTTCGGCATCTGGGGATAAAAGCGCTGGCTCGAAAATTGCTTTCGACGCGCTTCTAAGATAAAGCGAAAAGAGTGCAAAAGCTAAAGAAGAAGAAAAAGAAAGAAAAATATATATATATAGAAAAAAAAAAAAAAAAAAAAAAAAAGTTGGGCAGATCGAGGGGACAAAGAAGCAAGAACGACAGGATGGACGCAGAGTCAAGAGGTGGGAATAGAGAGGGAAGGAGGGGGGGGGGTTAGAGGGGGTGAGAGGGAATTCGGGAGCGATTAAGCAAATGAGAATCGTTTCTCGATTAGCATACCGCAACATACATTATCCGGAACGACTGACTCTCGTGCGACCGGGGAATGGTTTCATGGGGGTGTATATACATATATTTATATATATATATATATGTGTGCAAGGTGCTATGGGGGATGAACGGAAACAAAAGACCGATTGGTATCTCCGGTTAAGCGTCACGCTGTCCGCTTTGGGCTCAAGCGTATAGTCACCGCGAGCTGGCAAAGCAAGAGAAAAAGAGAGAGAGAGAGAGAGAGAGAGAGAGAGAGAGAGAGAGAGAGAGAGAGAGAGAGAGAGAGAGAGAGAGAGAGAGAGAGAGAGAGAGAGAGAGAGAGAGAGCGTCGAAAACCTGCGTGGTCGCTTTTCTGCCACGGACCTGCCTGAAAACGTTCTTATCATTCGCGCGGATCGCAACGATATTTCTGGAGAGAAAAAGGGTGCCACGTACCAATGCCGCTCTCGTAACTTAAAGAGCGTTATCAATTATCAGCGCGCGTCGAGACTCATTAAACGTTTAACAAAATCGCCGCTTCCGGAATGCCGACAGTGATTTCTCTTTTTTTTTTTAAATTCTATTATTTCGTTTCTTCTTTTTATCCGAAATTTCGAAAAAATAACAAATTCAGCCAAATAGAAATGCAGAAAAAATTAAAATTTCACAAAGCAAAATAATTTGGTTAAACATAGAAATTTAAATTGATTAAATTGTGGACAAATAAGATTTTGGTTTAATAAAAGTTTGGCTAAATAAAAATGCATATAAACATAGGGCAGGTGAAATGGACAGATAAAAAATTTTAACACAAAAACAATTGAAAATTTATCGAAACTCCAATGGATGTAATTGAGAATATATAATATTTCGACTAAATGAAAATTTCAGACTGATAATTGTTTGGCTAAATAGAATTTCGAATAAATAATATTTGACCAAACAGAAATTTCAGACTGGTAATAACTGTAGGCTAAACAGAATTGCGAATAAATAATATTTCGGCCAAATAAAATTTCAAACTAACAAAATACTGTTCGGCTAAATAAAAATGTAGAGAAATTAAATTTCTCGGACTAATGAAAAGTCGACTAAATATTAGAAATATGCAGACAAATGAAATTGAAACTCGCTATTATTATATTTTTTCTGGCAATATGTATTTGGTGAATACGCTTCTTGTATATATGTATACGTATATATTTTTGTGAATAAATATTTTTGCAGACAAACTCTCTCGCCAGGTCGATTGCAGGTTTCAATGCAACACTGTATGTTTATATATATATATATATATGTGGGAGTAGAGTGGAATGCAGATGGAATGTAATGTCCACCCCTTTTTTCTCCAACCATACGCCATCTCGATGCCTTATGGACTTTACAAAACTTCAACAACGGTGGCCATTTCTCGATTATTTATCAAACCTTTCAATTTTACTAATGGAAAAATGATTAATACTCTCTTCGATATGCAACTTTTTAAAAATGGAACACAAATTTTATACTGGAAAAGTGAATTGGATGAATTTCATATGTGTGTGTGTAAATTTTTGTATATGCAAACTTGAAACAGCAATCCATTTCGCATTGGAAGATTTTAATTCCAATGATATATTTATAATTTAATAATTATATTTATCATTTTTTTTTTAATGCCCACCACATTTTTTGTAGACAATTGAGTCTCTTCTCTCTCTTTGTACATATACTTGCTGAGATATTTCTAGTGGTTTATATCAAAAATTTTAAATTTCGACATTTTTTTTCATTTTGGTCCATCGGATGCTGTTGGTCCATTTAAAGATTGTTCAATACAGTTTTTGAAGAACACTATCTGGGGATAACTCTCCTGCTATTCCCTAGAATTTATTTCAAAAATTTAAAATTTTTGTCCACTTTGGTCTATATTGTAGTTCGGATGCTGCTGGTCCATTACACAAAGTGCCCCATACATTTTTTTGTAGAGTACACTATCTGAGAATAACTCTCTTGCTATTGCCGAGACTTTATATCGAAAATGTAGAATTTCGAAATTTTTTGTCCACTTTGGTCCATTGTAACTCGGATGCTGTTGGTCCATTTAACAAAGTGTCCTATACATTTTTTGTAAAATACTAATTGGGGAAAAGTCTCCTGCTATTCCTGAGACTTTATTTTGAAAATGTAGAATTTCGAAAATTTTTGTCTACTTTGGTCCATTGTAACTTGGATGCTGTTGGTCCATTTCACAAAGTGTCCCATATATTTTTTGTAAAGCACTATTTGGGTAGAAATCTCCTGCTATTAACGAGATCTTATGTGGAAAATGTAGAATTTCGAAAATTTTGTCCCTTTTTGGTCCATCGTAGTTTGGATGCTGTTGGTCCATTTCACAAAATATCCCATACATTTTTTGTAGAGTATACTATCTGAGGATAACTCTCTTGCTATTCCTGAGACTTTATTTTGAAAATGTAGAATTTCGAAATTTTTTGTCTACTATGGTCCATTGTAACTCGGATGCTGTTGGTCCATTTAACAAAGTGTCCCATACATTTTTTGTAAAGCACTATTTGGGGAAAAGTCTCCTGCTATTAACGAAATTTTATCTCGAAAATGTAGAATTTCGACAATTTTTGCCCACTTTGGTCCATTGCAGCTCGGATGCTGCTGGACCATTTCACAAAGTCCCCCCTACATTTTTTGTAGAGTATACTATCTGA